TTAAGGAAGGATTGGTCTAAGCATTTGGGTGATGCTTTGTGGTCTTATAGGATAGCTTATAAAACTCCTCTAGGCATGTTTCCTTACAGTCCTGTCTATGGTGAGACTTGCCATTTACCAAATGAGTTGGAGCACAAAGCATTTTGGGCTACCAAAACTTTGAATTTTAATTTAGCTCATATTAGCCAAGCTAGAATGTTTCAACTCAATGAAATGGAGGAGCACAGATTGTTCTCTTATGTAAATGTTGAGTTGTATAAGGAAAAGGCTAAGAGGTGGCACGATAGTAAATGCCCGGAAAAAATTTTGCTGGAAGGTCAACAAGTTCTCTTATTCAATTATAGGTTTGAGATTTTTCCAGGAAAACTTAAGTCCAAGTGGTCTGGCCCTTTCAGATTGATTAAAAGTTATCCTTATGGGGCAGTGGACTTGTTGAATAAGAAAGCAGGTGAAGAGTTCAAGGTGAATAGACAAAGAGTTAAGGCCTACCTTGGTGAATCATTACATAACACAAGGGTCGCCTTGGAGTTACATGAATCTTCTTAATTTTGTTTTAGTTAGGCTATAAGACTATAAAATAGTGTTACTGGAAGGCAACCCAACTTAACTTTTATTTTTGTTTTTGTTAGTTTGTTTAACATTCAGATGATTTTAATTGATGAAGAAAAGTGGAAATGGTCAGAGTCAAGAGTTATCATGTCTATGAGCTGTGGGGTTAAACATGATAAAGGAAGTAATTATTGTCTCTTTGAATTTAGTGAAAACAAGAAAAGGTGACAATTTTGCTCAAAAAAAATGTGCTAATAAGACAAGAGTTGAATGAAGGAGAGAGAAAATGAGGCCACATGCGTAGACAAGCTATTATGCCATGTCTGTGACGTCACATTTGGACAGACTCATTAATTGTGAAGTCTCTACACTTCATGATTTTGGATGCTGCCACAAGTAACCACCCATTAACCGGTTTATATTCTCTCTCTCTCTCTCTCTCTCTCTCTCTCTCTCTCTCTCTCTCTCTCTCTCTCTCTCTCTCTCTCTCTCTCTCTCTCTCTCTCTCTCGCTCGCTCTATGTGTGTGTTTTCAAATTTTTAAAACCACACCCTTTTGTTTTCTATTTCTCCTTCATCCCTTTTAAAACGTGCAATCACCAAAACCCCATCATTACATTTTCTCAACTCCCTAAACTCCCAACCTCTCCTTCTTCCCAAACCGTTTATCAAACACTTTCTCCAAACTCTCCATTTAACTCAAATCTCAGAAATACTCTTTTATTCTCAAACACGTTTAACCCTAATTTCACCATGAAGCCCTCATGTAATCAAGGTGTCTACAGCTATCGCGATTGAAGTTGTCTCTAAATCATCCAACACTTCAAGGAAAGAACCCATACCAGAGCCAGCCCAGAAGGAGGCTAGGAAAAAGAAAAAGGAAGGCCATGCTTTGAGGAAGAGCAATAAGCTTAATGTCTAGCTAGTATTACCCTTAACCCTTTTGATGAGACAGTTATTGGCGTGCCCCATTTCATCAGCTAATAGTAAGGACATTGTCCTTACTTTAAGTCTGGGGAAGTGGCGGCCTATGTCATGACCTTGCCCATCAATCCACCAATTCTCAATCATCATTATATGATTGTTGCTGCTGTTTTTAAGTTGTTAGTTTAAAATGTTGCTTTGTTTTAAGTTGTAGTTTGGTTGTCCTTAGCCATATTTTAAACTAATGAAAATGTTGCTTGTTTTGGTTATGATTTGTTATATATATATATATATATATATATATATATATATATATATATATATATATATATATATATATATATATATATATATATATATATATATATATATATATATATATATATATATATAATAAAATAAAAATAACAATAAACAGAGAAAACAAACTAACTTCAACCCTTTAAAGTCAAACAACTCTAGAAGACTTAGGAAAAATCTACTAGGACTGTAAAAATGTTGGAAACAAAGTTTTTAGTGCTAGTTAATTGCACCTTCTTGTGTTTCTGATAACCTCAGTCACGCCTTTAGTAGTCAGAAAAGTATATAACCTTTTGATAAATTTGAATTCTTTTAAAGTATGGAATAGGAATTCGTTGTAGGATTTAGCTTGGGGAAGATAGTACTGTTATTTAGGATCTAGTACAAGTGGGCACGCTGTATATGAAAATAAAAACACCAAAGTGTGTAAAGAAAGTAAGCCAAAATGCACTTCTTGAATAAGTTCATGTATCCGAAACTAGAGGAACAAGTCTTTATAATAAGTTCATGTGCCTAAAACTGGAGGAACAGTAGATGCCTTCACCATTAGTACCAAGTTAGACTCATTACAAGTGAGATCCCGTCAGAGAATAAGGTGGAGGATTCACCTAGCTTATCAATAAAATGCATGTGTTCCTAAGTACAAAAATTTAAAAATACAATAGTCAAAGTCACCCCTGCTAAAACTGAAATTTGATATCTTAGACCATAGGATAAAGCAAATAAAATTAAATTTAGGCTAAATATCTTGACTGAAGAGTTCAGACGTGACAAGTAGCATCAGTAACGCACATATCACACACACACACATATGATCTGGTTTCAGGACTGAGTTGTGTCAATCTTTAAAAATAGCCCTTTGAGATCATTTTTGGGTTGAAGGTGAGTTTATACTGCCTGAAAAGATAATTGTTTTGAGGGGAGGTTTCTTTGTCGTTATTTGTCGCATTACCTAAGGACAGGTAATGATTCAAGTATGGGCGTGTGATACCCACAATTTGTGAGTTATTACATACCTTAGTTTTTCATTATTTTTAATTTATTTTATTTTTTAGTTGTTTTATAGTAATTAGTTTGGAGCATAATAGATGTTCCCTTTTGTTGGTTTGATGTGTTTGTTTCTTGATTTAAGGTTAATTCGGTCGAGATAAGGCAAGACTGCAAAGAACATCATCTAAGAGCACAAGCTAAAGCATAAAGATGAACTCAATCAAAGTAGAAAAAGAGAAAAGATGCTTAGTTCCTAGGGCAAGTGTGGAAAGATTGGTGAATTGGAAGGAACCTTTGGTGTGTGTTAAAGAGAATTTATTTGAATCAAGTGGATAAGACCAAGGGCTGCTAGAAGACAAAAGATGGTACAATAGTACAATCACGACTCTCTGTATTCTGCAGGAAAAGGACAATGCCACCAGCACCCTGTTGTGGCAGTCTGTCACAAGACACCTTGTCTCTCATAATTGTTCCCTTGTGCCTGATTCCTTGGAGGCTAAGCAGAAAAAATATTGTGAAAGCACGGATTATGTTATTGGATTGATTTGATTTCCTTATTTTTGGCTCATGATCCAGGACATCACAGAAAATCCTAGTGAAGACTTATAAATAGACCCTATTGAAGATTGAAGAAAAAAAGTTCAACATTATTCCAAATCACAAGACAGAATACAATAGTGTGAGATTAGTGAAGAGAAAATATTTTTCTTCTTCTTACCATTTCATGTACCAGCGCAGAATGATGTATATTTTATTTTATTTTATTATTTAGTACGTATTTTTTCTCCTTCGATTTGGATAAAACAAAGAACTTATTTTGTTCTACTGTAAAATATTCAAAAAAAAAAAAACTCTCCTTCAATTTGGCTTGAAGGAAAGAAAAAGAATTGAATAAATAAGAATATATTAAAAGATGGAATCGTTAAAAACACTGTCAGATTCTACTATAAAATATTCAAATGATAGAAATGAAATCTTCAATTTTACTTTGTTTAATTCACTCCACTTATTTATATGCTACTTTCTTCATTTTAAGATATTCAAATATCCCCTCCAAAACTCAATATGCCATATAGATGCTCTTTCAAACATCTTTTTCACAAAACATAAATATAGCACTTATAATATATCTCTTTACTCGTAGGTGCTGTAAATTTGTATTAATTTGTAATCTTTTAATCGAAGTTGTTATAATTTTTTACTAAAAATTTGTTAGATTGGTAAAAGAACTCCCTCAAGCATGCACGATACATTGATCAAAATACTACCTCATCTCATCTCTCCTTTATGATGCGCTACACAATCCCCTAATAGAATCCCAATACTATATGACTTTCTAAAATTTGCATGGCCAAGTATAATAAGTTATGTTCTAGCATCTAAACTTTAGACTTATATTATCATATTAAGTGATGTTCTACATGGTGAAACAAACACTCTATTTAAACATTAACCTAATCTAGTGTTTCTTTAGCTGTCATATTCCACCATCCAAACTAAATAGTGTTCTTCTAGGTGTTTATATAATTGGATTTATTGGTGCTCCACTAGTCTTGGTGGAGAAGGTTTGTACCAAAAGCCTTTTTGACTTGCTCCACTTACATGCCAATAATGCACTCCTACTACGTTACACTTTGGCCAACAAAAGAACCCTCCTTGAGTGTCTTCTTCACTACTAACAGTTCAGAAAACGTCAACGGAATGAGGTAAGGTAGGCCGGCGCGGGGCAGGGCATACTCCGTTGATTTGCATGCATGAAAGAATCAAACCTAACTTTAAAATACAGAGATGAATGTGTAAACACAAGATAGAAAAGGAAGATAGAGACATGTTACATCAAAACACCAAATAATACAAGTGGGGTGAGGGGTCCTTGTCATGGCATGAATCAAGATATTGAATAGAAAGATAGAGACTCTTCATCACCCAACATGAATATGCACAGAAAGGTGTCAACTTCAAAGGTTATATTTATTAAATAGACAGGTTGTTTAAACTAGAAAAGAAAAACCTAACAATTATGTTGGTGTACACAATAAACTACATGCTGGCAGCCAAACAAACGGCTGCACTAAATTATGACAAATACATGTTTTGATATCTTCAGGTTGGGAAGGATGTTAAGAATTAAGAATAAGATACAGCCAATTCTACACAACTAAAAGTGTACATGAGAATTACAGTATGCATAGCTAAAAACCTAATTACCAAGCAGTAATGTCTAATCCACAGGCCGACTTAGGTCTCCTGGCCGGTTGACCGGCCTTCGTCTTTCTCGGTATCCTCCTCTTCATCCTCGTCTTCATCATCTGCTTCTTCTGCTAGTTTTGTCAGCTCCTCCTGAATCATGAGCTTAATAGCTGCCTTTTTTGGGTTGAGATCCACATCAAATTGCTTAGCTGGAAAATGATGAGATTGTTAGTTTTATACAGCATAACTTTTTTTCGCATCTGCGAATGGTTTGAGACACGGCTCAACATTAAATGAGAGCATCTCTTTCAACTTAGATTCAAACCTGATTCGTCGTATTGTGGAAGACTGGCCTCAAGTTAGTTATACCCAACCCCGTTTATTCAAAAAGTGTTCGCATAAAACAAACAAAAAATCTCAAATTGTCCCACCTCTTATAAGTTATAACTATTTAACATCACCAATCCATCATAAACTTTTTAAATGTTTGAGTGAAAAAATGTAGTTTTGAATATTGTAGATCCAATAGAGGGGACCAAATTCAAGAACTCAAGAGTTCAATAAAAAGTACCAAGGACCAAAATTGCATACAAAACTGCATTACTAACGATATCAAAGAAACTAAAAGTGTAATTCAGCCTAAAACTGAATATCCTAGATTGTTAAGGGAAAGAGCAACTGTAAATTATGCCCTTCAGGTTCAAGGATAACCAGACACTAGAAAATGCAAAAAACCAAAAACACACACATAGAGTTTTGATCTTGAAGGCATAAACGTTCCAGTTTCATAGTTTTAACTGAAAAAGGTGTAACTATTAATAGAGGAAAAAGTTAAAAGAGAATAGAGAACTTACCGAGTAGCTTCAGAATGTCAGTAAATGTGGCCTGCAAAAGTGAAAAGGACTATTAATCTTGGAGAACATAAAACACTCGGTAGACTACCCGAGTTGTTCAATCTACCAACAACGACATACATAGAAATATTCAATATTACATTCCAGTTAGTTTTATAAATTCAACCAATGGAATCATATAGCCGCCAAAAATATCACAAGGTTAGCGCAAATCTGCTGCTACATTCCAGCCTACAAGAAATATGCTGCACATTTAATCATCCAATTTGCTATTTTTTTGAGACTGTGTCCATGACTAAACCCTCAATTATTAATGTTTTACTGATTCCTGCTATGATATATCCATACATAAATTGATGGAATATAAATAAATATCTTCTATAGCTTTAGTAATGTTGACAAAGAAAAGGCTAAGATATCTTAAGCTCTGCATTTTTCTCAAGCTGTTGAAAATTTACAGTTTCCCAGTCAATAAAGGTACATTGTGAAGAACCGTGCTACTAAAAATAGTTTATAAATCAAACGTAAATAAATCAACAAACAAAAAGTAATATTTTAATTCCAAAATCTTACCGTATTGAAGTCAACTTCTTTAAGAATTTCACATATTGCATTGCGCAACTGATTATCACTGGGACCTGAGGACTTCTCTTTCTTCTTGCCTCTACCCTTAGCAACCTTTTCTGCTTAGTGCATGCAGTAAAGATGATTACTTATAGAACATATTATCAGTTTTCCAATTTAAAACATTTATACATTTACTAATGGAAAAGGAAAAATTAAACATGCCGAGTTGGTTACTAACAATCAAAACACAATACTTATGCAAATCCAAACGGTCATAAATGACATAATGACAACAGGGGAGGAGAGCTTATGGCATCTACCAGTTTTCTCTTTGGACTTTGATGAAGACTTAGTTGGAGTTGGAGTTGATATCTTCTGCTTTCCCCCTTGCTCATTTTTCTTCTTCCTAGAAAATACCTTTGGACTTTCATCAATATCATTGTCAGACTTTGGTTGGGTATTTGATGATTTCTTAGGTGCTCTCTTAGGAGGTGAGCGAGATTTATTTGTGACTGTAGTTTTCTCTATTTTACTTCTTCCAGAGGACTCTTTCTTTGAAGATGATGATTTAGAATGTTTTCTCTTTTTTTTCACATCATCAGATTCACTCCCAGAATCACTTTTATCTTCCCTTTCAAATTTCTCTGATATTTCATCTTCAGATTTCTCAGGAATGTCATTATCAGTTTCATCCTCATTTTCTTCATTTTTTTCCTCTCCCTCTGATTCATCTTCTGTGTCAGTTGTACTCTTTTTCTCCACTCCTAAAGAACTTTCATTTTTCTTCTGCCTCTGAAAAATATACAGCCAAAAGTTAAGAAATAAGAAGCCCACAATAAAAACTAAAACTTCACATATCGCATAAATTGATATTTTATTTTGAATAAAATATAATGTCATGCAACAACTAATATCAATTTATATTGATGATCAGATGACGAGTTGGTACATTATTTTGCCGATTCAAATTTATTTTTTTTGGGTAAATGGCGAAACTGCTATTTGAACTGAGAAACTCATGTAAACCACCCAAGCCTTTTATCACTAACCTTTTTCAACTTAAGCACCTCATAAACAACACAACCTTCAATCCAACACCTCCAAAAAAATTTAACAAAATGTGTCTCACTGATAACTCCTCATCCATAAAATTCATCAATTCGTTATCTAGATGCATATTGGCCCACAAAAATATTATTGACATGCACTGTTGCCCACTCATAGGAGATAAGCTTAGGAGCTTTTATAGGCTCCTTGTTCCTATTTGCTACTACTTCCAGTGGTAATGGAAGGGAGAAACCAAGGTCTCCAATTTTTGGAAGAAACAACTGTATAAATGAGTCCAATTTCTCATAACTCTCTGTAACCTTCCGGTGTATCTAATTTGTGTAATTGTGCGACTAAATCTCTGATTTGAGAACTTTCTCCTGAGATTGTTCAATAAATGTCAGTTAGTACACTTAAATTTCAATGTTTGGTGGCCCAAAATATCTTTTCAGTTATTACTCTTAAATTTCAATGTTTGGTGGCCCAAAATATCTTTTCACTCTGTAGGTGAGAGAAACTAACTTACAAAGTTAGTGGTGGTAGAAGTATGGTTGCTATGTCAAAGTTTAGAGAAATAATACAAGCAATTTATTTATATCATACGGAGTACATATGTAAGAGCACAAAAATAGAAGAATACACAATCAAATACATTCATAACTAACAATCAGAAGAACTACAGTGGAAATTTGCTTCAGATCTCATATATATTATTCTATTTGTTTTTCAAAAACCAATGGAAACACCTTCATGTGCCATGGCATATCAACATCGAGGGGAGATGCAGTGGCAGAGAAATGGAAGAGAGCTTCGTGAGCTGCAGAGAGCGCTTTGTCAGGTGCCATGGAGAGATGAAGCAGCAGCAGCCCGTCTCGAGAAAAGAAATCTAGTGATGTGGGCTTGTAGCTAATCAGATAATTAGGGTTATTCAGTTGGGCGTAAAAAGTATTGGGCCTTTTATTACTTGTATTGAGCCAAACTTATTTGTTCATTATCTTTCTCTGAAACTATTCATTTTTTAATTTGGGAGTAAAAAGTATTGAGCCTTTTTTACTTGTATTGAGCCAAACTTAAATTGTTCATTATCTTTTTCTGAGACTATTCCTTTTTTAATCTTTCTTTATACTTAATGAATTTTATTAATTTTACTATATAAATTGTTATTAGTATTAATTATTTATGATATTTAGCACTATACTTATTTTTTATTTTTTATTTGTTACCATCTAGTACAAACCCGGTTCAGCCGCTTGAACCATGACCAAGAGCATGGTTGTCAGGAGCGTGCATTAACTCCTTAGATCGTACGATCTTGCGCTCCCTCAACTGGCCACCGAGTTGGATCGGTGCAAAGATCACTGGAGATGAGAGAGCGATCGGCGCGCCGATGAAGATCGTAAACACGTGAAATCAGTGATTTGTTTCGTTCCAATTTGGCCAAAATCGGATCTGTTTGAACTTTCGACCCATTTCCAACCTAGTTCCACATCACACAAATCGGCCCGTTACGGCCAGCATTTGACCAGACTCTTTTTGAAAATAGGTTTAGCAGCACCGAAAGTTGTTTTCTGACCTGTTGCTTTTTTATTAAGTACTGTATTGAAATATGGAAATTTCTAATCATTTAAAATGAATTAATTCTCATTCAATATTCTTTTACTATTCTTTTTAAATTTTTGCTATGTAATCGCCATAGTTTTGGCCACAACTAACGCGTGTTGGCGGGGCTTTGGCCGCAACTTGGACAGCTGCAGATGCAATTCTAAAATGCCATGCAATGGGTCATTTCCATAGTGCAGATCCTCAACAAAACAATAATATGGTGCAACTGTGGCCACTACTGACAACATAAAGACAGAGAACCTAGTTTTCATTGACTATTAGTGAAAAACGCTATAAATTGGTTAAACAAGTTTTATTAAAATTAGATAATGATGTCATAGATATGGAATGAAAACTACAATGGAATTTAAACTCGCTTCTCTCTCAACACCACAAATATAAACAATAATATTAAAAATATATATATACTTGCAAATTAATTATACAGTTATAAGTACACGATAAAATTTAACTAATCATAGGAGGAAAACAACTAGTCATTTTCAAGGAATGCAGAGAGCGAAACAAGCATAAAAGGCACTCACAAATTATATTAAGCTGCTAATATCACATTTGCTGCAGTTGAAGTAGTGAGATTATTACCTTTGCAGAAGAACCTCTCGAAGTACTAGTCCTAGGCCTTGATGTACCTCGTTTCACAACACGCTTGCGCTTTTTACTGGACTGATGCAGGTTAACCATAAAACTATGAATATGTTGCACAAGAAACTATACTTTCCTAGCAACAGAAAATTTCCATAACATCTTGAAGAAAAATATTGAAACACAAAAAAAAGTAAACCTCTTTTTCTGCAAGTAGCACAGTTGTGGTTGCATGAGGGGCAAGCAAAAAGTCTATCAGCTTAGTAATAATATCTTCCTGCAGGCAGAAATTCATTGGCAATAATAAACGTGTGTTAAATGGTATCAGTCAACAGGGTTTCCTTTTAGGGCTAGAACATATATACAGTGCACTCTGAATATAAGCAACAGAGATTCTTGATAACCCTTGTGCACACGCATACCAAAGCGTGAACATGTGGCGGGATTAACGTATTAATGTTTCATCCACAACAAGAACATTAGAAATGCTACTAAACCAACAAACCTTTTTTATTGTTGACTTGTTAAGTGTTATGTCAAACACATCACAGAATTCCAGTAACTTCTCTTTAAAACATTTGTCTAGCTTTTCTTTTACTTTAAGCATTTGCTTCTCCTGTAGAAAATTATATTAGAATTTTTCAACCATTGGCAGAGAAGGACTTCAAGGTAAAAAAAGAAGTCCGTAAAAAGAAATTACTATGAACACAAATCAACAAAACCCTTCAATCATTTTATATGATATAGTTGCATGTTATGAGTATTATATTTGGTACTTCTTGCGGTAATAATTACCTCATTGTCATGCCATACAAAACCAGAAAACCTCGATATATTACTCTTGACCTGAACTGCCTGCAAAGGATTAAAAAAAGAGTAACATGGTGTAACATGAGTCTGACTTGTCAGTTACATAACTGTAATATCACATATATAAAAGTGTTAAACTTTTCAATAGTGAAGGCCTGCACTATACAAATCCTGATCTATAGAACCACAATGATGTGAAAAACAAAAGAAAATTAATACGGTGGTTTGAAACAGGTGTAATAAAAAGACTCAGATATTTAATGAAGAAACGTGTACCTTCCCTCTCCTTCCAAAGAGGATTGTATGGAGCAACTTGAGACTATCATCATTTTTCCTTCGAGATAACTTAAATGCCACTATAGAAGAAAAATGCAGGAGTCATAAGTTTATTAGCTATTCTGAAGAAGTATAGTTACGCCTCCAGTGTAACAAATGTAAATAAGAACAAAAATTACAAAACAACTACAACATATTATCAGGTCAACTTCACTTAAATATATATGTAACAGGAAACTCCTTCTATTACTTCTGAACTAAGGTCAATTTGACCGTTCATTTATGTCCTGCCATTATCTCCAAGTCCTAAGATTCCAAAGATCAGATTTACAATTGTTCTTACAATGGTCACGTAAATCAGTAAAATGACATTAAATAGCATGGATAAACTATACTGAACTAATAAATGATAAGAAACTCTTTTTCCAAAAGTGGAAGGAAGAGGATCAAATATCTCCATGTTTTGCCACTATTATTAATATCTTTAAATGTACAGTGAGTGAGAAGGAAGATCCACATATTAAATTTTCTTTTGATGAGAAAAAGAGGGCATGCATAAAGCATTTTACTGAGGGAAAATTACAGTTAATTAACAAGACAATCAAATCAAATCAAATCAGTGCAAGCTAATGTACTAGTCAATATCATAATCAATGTAAATGTTTAAGTTGTAAATCAAAATCATAAACTTGTGGCAATCTGATAGTGTTCAAAAGCATATATCCTTGGCTCAAAAATAATGGTACAGCTTTAGATATTTAAGCATAATAATCCTTGGCTCGTTTGGTATTTGGTACGGGTATGCAACAAAACACTGATTGGGGTATGCAACAAAACACCGATTGGGTATGTGAGGGTATACATCGTCGGTATGTTATTTCGGTTTGTGGTGCATTCAAATATTTTAATTGTCATGCTATTAGTGAACTTTGTGATTTATGGTTATGGGGTATATGCCACAGCTTTGAACAGGTATAACACTGTCTCATCCGAATACAATCTTGCATCCTTCTGACATTAGGCTATGTTTGGATATTGTAAAATGAATGGAGCGGAGCGGAGTGGAGCGGAATAAAGCGGAGCGGAATGGAATAAATATATTGTTCCATTGTTTGGGTATTTCATGACGGAATATAGAGATTGTCATTCCGCCCAAATCGGAGGGTACAAAAAATGATGGCGAGTGATAGAATGGGATGGAATGCATTCCAACCGGTTCTACTCCATTCCATCCTTTTTTAATCAATCCAAACAATGGAACTTAAGTTCATACCATTCCATCCCATTCCATCAATCCAAACATACCCTTAAAGTTAATGCATAATAGCATTAGCTTATACCACCACCAAGACAGAAACGGTGCATGACGGCAGCCAAGTAACACCATACTCAATCTCGTAGTGGAGGCATGAGATGCATAGAAGGAAAAGAAGGTGTGTGTAGAATTTAAAATTAAGAAATACTATAACATCTGAACCATTTATTTGATTGCCTATCAATCAATATATGAGGCGTGCTAAGAATACTCTCTTTTCAGCACTCTTTTATTGGGTGAAACACATGTTGGTCTCACATTGAAAATGGGTCCCTCGTAACATGGTGGGTCCATTAGGGATTCACCCAATAAAAAAGTGAGTGTCAAGAGAGAATGTCGAAAAGTGTTTCTAGCACCCCTATATTGTTTGCTTATAAGCAAAATTTAACCGAGGGTGTGTTAGTGTGCATCAAACACACCCTCAAAATATATATGTATATATAAGGGAATTAAAAAACCATTACTGATAAGATAAAATAAAATAAAAAATCAAAGAGAAGCACCATACCATTGGGTATATCTTTTAAAGGTGTGCCACGACCCTGCAATTTGAAAGGGAAACTGTAAACAAATTAAGTTAAAATAAAAATGCATAGTTAAGGCTAATTACTTCAAATGTGACATTGAAAAACAAATACCTTCTCAATGTGTAATTCTTTGCTTGTGTCTTTATCAATTACTGCTACCAACCTCTCAACTGATTTCCTTTCTCGAACTGGACGATCACTAGTAGGAGTCTTAGGCTCTAGCTGCTTCAGTTCCTTTCTTTTCTCCTTCACTTTCTCCTCGTTAACCTTCCCTCTCACACGCTTTCTTGATCCTTTCTCACCCTTACTACCCTCTGCCTTATCTTCTTTTGATTTATCAATACTATCCTTGTCATTCTCCTCCTCCCCCTCCTCTTCTGTCTCTGCTTCAGTTTTCTCCTTTTCATCACCCTCTTCCTTCTCCACTGTCTCTGCTTCAGATTCCTCATTTTCATCACCCTCTTCTTTCTCCTCTATCTCTGCTTCAGTTTTCTCCTCTCCATCGCCCTCTTCCTTTTCCTCAATGCTACCCTCTGTTTCCATCAAATCTGCTTCTTCTTTTTCAGCTTCAATTTTTTCCTTTTCTTCTTTATCTTCTGTAGTTTCCTTAACATCAGTATCGACATCCATTTTCTCATTATCAGATTCAGCAACATTTTTGTCATCCTCTTCTATTTCTTGAATGTCATCATCATCTTTCTTAGCCTCCACTACTTCTTTTACACTATCAACTTCCATATCCTCTTTAACATCTACGCCTCCATTATCTTTCATTTCCACCTTTACTTCCTCATCCCCATCGATTCCCTTATCCTCTTCTATTTCTTCCACTCCACCATCTATTGCAGCCTCCTTTACTTCTTCCACCTCACCATCTTTTGTATCCTCCTTTACTTCTTCCACATCTTCATCTTTTACTTCTTCCACATCTTCATCTTTTACTTCTTCCACCTCATCAGCTTTCTTATCCTCTTTTTCTTCTTCCACATCTTCATCTTTTACGTCTTCCATCTCATCAACTTTCTTATCCTCTTTTTCTTCTTCCACGTCTTCATCTTTTACTTCTTCCACCTCATCAACTTTCTTATCCTCTTTTACTTCTTCCACCTCATCAACTTTCTTAACCTCTTTTACTTCTTCCACCGCATCATCTTTTACTTCTTCCACTGCATCATCTTTTACTTCTTTCACCCCATCAACTTTCCTATCCTCTTTTTCTTCTTCCAACGCATCATCTTTCTTATCATTTTTTACTTCTTCCACTCCATCATTTTTCTTCTCCTCGTTTACTTCTTCCACCCCATCATTTTTTGTCTCCTCTTTTACTTCTTCAGCCCCATCCTCTTTCTTATCATCTTTTACTTCTTCCACTGCATCATCTTTCTTCTCATTTACTTCATCAGCCTCATTATCTTTCTTATCCTCTTTTAGTTCCCCCACCACATCATCTTTCTTATCCACTTTTCCGTCTTCCACTATATCATCTTTGTCGTCCTCTTTTACCTTTTCCACATCATCACCTTTCTTATCCTCTTCAATTTCTTTAAGTCCATTACTCTCGAAGACTTTCCCTCCATCAGTTTCCAAGTCTTTCTTAGCCACAACTTCATCTAATGTCTTAGCCGCAACGCTACCGCCATTTGAATCAGTCTTAGCAACTTCAGTCACTGGTTCTTCTTCTCCCATACCAGTCTTATTCTAATATACCTATAAAATTACTTTACAAAAGCACACTCTTCGCAACAGTCTGTTCAATCGAACAACTGAAGCCAACCTGCAGATAACAGAAATCATTTAGAATACGTAGAACAAACAGCATGGTACAAAGAAAGAAGAGAAAATAAGAAGATAATGAAAAAAATATTAAGCTTCCACAACTATCAGTCAAAAAGTATTTTTAACCCTCGCATACCACATACAAGTAAATCTTATATGGCTAGAGTGGAAGGGTGTATTTTAGTTTAAATCACAATCAACAATTTGAAAAATTGAACCACAATGAAGCCAACTTACCTTCCATCCCTCGCAACAACAAAAACAATAACGATAATAACAAAATGAATATATTTACCTCATGAAAATCAATTGCAATAAGAGCATGAAAATTGGCCCCAACCAAAAATCAAACAAAGCAATGCAATTTGCAAATAAAAAAATCAAACATAATCCATGAAGCCCAGACACCGGAAACAAGACACCGACCCTGTCACGTCAACACCGATAATAATTTGAAAACGAATAATTAAACATATTGTTGATGTCAGTTTTGGACACCGTCGCTGACAACTTTTTCAGAGGTGCCAGTGCTAAAAGAACATAATATTTAGCTGGGGTGCAGAATAATTAAGCAGCCAAAAAAACAAAAAACAAAAAAAAAACTCAATTTAGATTATTCTGTTTGCATTAACTTCATAGGAAAAAAATTCATAATAACCCTAAAAAATCAACCCTAAACATCTGATTCCAAACGAAATTCTCAACAGTAAAACACATCCCGGCCAGAAACTAACTTCAATTCATCATAATATTTCATATTTAACCCTAATGAAACCAAATATTCGAAAATAAACCAACATAATCAAATTAAAACAACAAAAGTACCAAATTTTCCTTTGAGAAATTCTCTAAAATCCAAAGCCCTACAAATTCTCAACCTCACAAACCAAAATCCCAAAAAAAAGGCACAAACTTTGAAACCTAAAACGGTGCGTTTCACAGAATAACGAAGTAGAAGAGTGAAAAACTTACAGATTTGGAATTCGGAGGAGAAAGATCAGAGCTTCTTCACTCTTTCGCGTATGATTATTTTCTCTCTCTCTGTACTGACAGTAACAAACAAAGCGAGAAGTGTCGGGGTTATTTTGGTCTATTTATAGTTCGGACTTCAAATGCGGATTTTAAATGGAGTTTAATTGCCACGTAAGATATGTACGTCGTTGAAATTCGTATCGGATGGATGAGATAGGGTTTTTGTGAGGTACGTGTGAAATCAACGGTTGTGATTTGAAATTCCATGCGTTGTGCATGTTTTGGGAGAATTGTTTTGATTGATTAATAGTGTTTTATCCTTGGATTTGATTATTTTTTTTGGTAGGCTGAACTTCAAATTAGTGTAATAAATATATTACCGAGGTAAAAAAAATTGAAATTTTGTTAAGGGATTTTGGGTGTCCAATTATGGAATTCTAGGTAGTTTATTTCAATTTATTGGTAATACGGTAAAAAACAAAATTTGAACTTAACTAGTATGTATTTTGGATTGGGTTGGCATATGCTCTTTAGCTGGGCAGGTCAACCCAATATTATGCTGATGAGATCTAATAAGGTTCAAATTCTCCTCTATTAAGGTACGAGCCTCAACAAGGTACATTAGTCGGGCAGAGGATTTTTTTGACGGGGAAGGCTACGCGCTTCCCCCACATTCCCCACGTGTCCCCCACGCGGGAATACGTCATCAGACAACTACCCACCTCCGAAAGAGATGGTCAGCCCGTCTTCCAAAATACACCAGGCAATTGATCTAGGGCAAAAACCACGTGGTGGTCTTCACCACACCATTTAAAGGGTCAAGTATCTTATTCATTACACATTTTCTCTATACTTGATATCTTCCTCTAATTTTGTTACTTACTTAAGCATCGGAGCACCTTGCAGGTACACCCTTTCCTCCTCTACAAAATCGGTGAAGGCATCAGATCACGACGCATGGCAGGCTACTGATTCCTTTCTAATTAAGTGAGATCAGTGGCGTTGTCTGAGAGAACCCTTTACTTCCCCGTTCTTTCTCCTATCCAAACGTAAAAGCTTAAGAACCAGAGCAACTTTCAACTTCCATCCCGATCATGGTCAGTCCACGTGACGACAATGCTCCGAAAACCACCTTCGTCCCTTTCACCAACGGGAACAGCCACGAACCCAACGTGACAGTCAGTAATGACGAGGGCGACTACAGGGATGGCGCACTGCCTCTCCCTCCTTTGAGGAGACGGCCTTCAATGCCGCCCAGCGCCTCGACAACTCGGCTGTCTACAAACCCATCCTGGTGCCAGCAGGCGCTAACCCCACCATGGTGACTCTATTCGCGACAATCAACCAGACCAACCTGATGATCTTCCAATAGAACGAGCGAATAGGGATGCTTGAGAGGGAGCGACCATCACGCTCTCTCTCGCTGAGACATCGTCGCCCAGTTTCCAGCAGCCTCTCTCCTCCCCCGCAGAGGACATGATACATCGACGATTCTCAGAGCCCCTCTCCTCAACCGACTGAGTGTCACCCTCGTTTGGAGCGACCACAACAATTGGCTTCCCAGAAGCGGGACCAGTCACCTCCCCGAAAGGAACGATGCTCCCTGTCTCAAAAGAATAGCAAAGTCGAAGGAGGTGATTCCAAGCCAAGGGCCCGACGGAACAGAAACAACCAAAGATCAGTTACCCCCTCACTGTCGCCCGTCAGGAGTGACAAAGGCGTCCAGCGCTTGCCATTATATAGGCTCATCCGAGAGGCCTTAGTACATGTTGGGATGGAGAAACCTCTGTCCTTAGCGACATACAATGGCACGACCAACCCGGACGACCACATAAAAAGCATCGACATGGTGCTCGGTTATCAGAACATCTGGGGACCCATCAACTGCAGGTTTTTCTCCACTACCCTGAGGAAGGGTGCCATGGCGTGGTACAAACGCCTTGCACCTGAATTCATCACCTCTTGGGTCGAACTGAAGAGGCAGTTCTCCAAGCATTTTACAACTCTTCGGCGCCATCTGAAGACAGAGGTAGCCTTAGAAGCCATTATCTAGGGGAAGAACGAACCTCTCCGAGATTACATAAAGAGGTTCAACCGAGAAGTCGTCCAGGTGTCCACCACGGACGATATGAAGAAATTCCTGATCCAGAGAGGCATACGACCTCACTCCAACTTCGCCAAAGTCGTCGGGATCGAACGTCTCGGCACCTTAAACACCCTTCTCCACAAAGCCCAATCATACATCCAGTATGAAGAGATAGAGGACGCCAACACAGCCTGTGATACGCGAAACTAGTAAGGCTACAGGAGCACCAAGCATGAGGAGGTCGTTCCTCCTCGTCGAAGCGGGGAAAGAAGAAAAGAAGATCGACCCTGCGAGCAGATGGGACCAGCGGGCCGGTTCGCTCAGTACACGCTACTTACAACTTCCCACGAGTGCATCCTGTCCGAATGTATCAATTCAGAATTCGAGAGGGACGATGTCTGCTTTCCGAAACCGACACCCTATAAGCCCAAGATAGACAAATCCAAATACTGTCGACTTCACCGGAGTCATGGACACGTCACGAAGGATTGCGTCCACCTCGTGGATGAAATCGAAATCTTAATTAAAGAAGATGACCAATCACCATTTATGCTAGGTATTTCACGATTCAACTATAAGGAAATCAGGTAAACTATGTGATTTTAAGCGTTTTTAGTTAGAATTTGGATTATTTTAATTATATGCAGTATGTCATTACTTATGAAATTTTTGAGGATATTTTACAATTTTGGTATGTTAGCAGGTCAAAAACAGGTTTGGAAGCTCAGAGGACCAAGCATCAGATGCGGAACTGAGCCGGAGTGAGAAAACAGAAGAAAAAGCCACAAAGTGGAGGATCTGCTGTCCATACGCATATAACCTCAGCTGTTACACGTATGGCCCCCTAGCTTACGTGTAACATACGCATTTCAGCAGAGGGAGGAATTTTGGAGGAAAAACAAGCCTTCTACCAATACGCGTATAGGCTTGGCAATACGCGTATTGGTTTTCCTGCTGACAGGTCATTCTGCTCATACGTGTAGGGGGAAGAGTTGCGTACCAGGGCAATACGCGTATTGTAAGAACACATATTGTTTCTTAGTTATATCTCTATGTTTTGATGATAACACTTATGAATTTTGTATTCAAGAATTATATACTCTAAATTTATTCTAGACTGTTTGCTACAGGTACTAAAGAAAATATTCTTAAAAGAGCAAATTTGGATCTGAACAATGATATTATGATAGGCTTCAAAGGTTCAAGAGCATCTTAAATGAAGATCTGAACGCTGCTCCCAGAAGAATCTGAATGATGTCTACTGAAGATTCTGAAGCAGGAGCCTCTAAAGAATAGAAGACTCTGAGAGATCAGAAGCTTAGTCATCAGATGACTCTGAATATACTGCGCTGCTTAAGTATTGAGAATCTGATATAGAAGACTCTGCTCTGATAGAATTACACGCTCAAGCACACAAGCTGCACATACTCTGATTCAGCACAATATGAAGTACATCCCAAGACTCTGAAGATCCATAAGATCTCTACTTTGGAGATTCTGAAGATTCAGACTCTAATGTTGAAAGCTGAACTTATTTAGTGAAGAAGATTTGAATATGTACGTTGGCATATCTCAACAACTCTTTCCTCTTTTGTGCTAGACACAAGAACACAGACAAAAAGGTTTTATCTGTGCATTCCATTCTAAGGAAAGTTTCTGCAAAGTGAAGACAAAAGGCATTAGGCTTTTTCAGCACAGCCTCCAATGTAAAGACAAAAGGCTCCAGGCTTTTCAGCACAGCCTTCAATGTTGAGAAGACTTCATGGATCTAAGTGCCTATATAAAGAAGTCCACTTCATCTTCTTCAGTATCGAACTACTTGCAAAAATCTCTCATCAAAACAAATTCTTTC